ACGAGCTTAGCACCTTAGCTTGTTCAGAATTACAGCGAAGGCATATTGAACAAAGATATAGATCTGGAAACAATTAGGATCATGTCTTGTGATAATTTTGACTAAATAACTAAAGAATAAGATGAAATTGCCTCCAAAAGCCAAATCGTGCAAACTAAAAATCTTGAGAAAATGTTGTCATGAGTGAAACCAAAAGTAAGTTGCCGCAGCGGAAAGCACTACCATTAGTTCTCGGTCATGTTCAATTAGTTTCATTGTGCGTCTTAGTTCTAAATTGCTGCATTTTACTACTCCCTCCATTCCTAAATATAAGTCTTTGTAAAGATTTCACTATGAACTACATACGGAGCAAAATGAGTGAATCTACATTCTAAAATGCATGTATATACATCCGTATGTGGTTCATAGTGGAATCTCTACAAAGACTTATATTTAGGAACGGAGGGAGTATTTTCTAACGTACTGTGATCAATCATAACTAAGAAATGTCCACTTTCATGAGTTCTGATTTGGCTCTGTGCCATTGTACTGATTATATCATTACATGCTCACTTTCTCCAGCTCCACTAAATCTCCACCATGGACTGAAATTGAAAATGTATCTGGTAACAGTGTCCTAACCAATCCCAGGTGCGTATTACTCCCTCCGTCCCATAATGTAAGACGTTTTTTGACACTATTGTAGTGTCAAAAAACGTCTTACATTATGGGACGGAGGGAGTAGCTTTTAAGCACCGGCTCAGAAGGAAATACAAAGTACTATACTAACTCCTAGATCAGTGCACCGTAAAAAAAACTCCTAGGTCAGTGTTTCTTGTATAGCATTGCCTATAATTTGAAAGATTATGCAGTCTGCTACTTGGAAACATGTTACTCGAGCAATTCTTTTGAGGTTGTCCAACTATTACTGGAAATGGCGTTTTCCATCTAAAAATACATTCATTCACTGTATTTAAGTTTTTTAACATTTGCAGCAAGGGAACCTAAGAAATGTATGTATTCCCTATAAATGGTGGATAAAACTATAAAGAAACAGCATACCATTGTGTCAACTGCACAAAAGAACTGTTGATAAAACCATACGGAAGGCAACTGAACTTCTTTGCAAAGACTGAATGAAAGGATGATAGATAGTCTATACTAATTTATAATACACTTAGAAACAAAAACATATATGATATACTAATATATTGTATAGACAAAACACTGCCATTAGTTCTATATTTCTAGTGCATGTTGTAGACATAGAGAAGACAATCGTTTACATTGCAGTATTTTACGGGCTGCTAAAAGAACAAACACCTTAAACTACAGAGGGCATAGGCAACAAAGAACACCTAGTCACAATGGTGACACTCACCGGCAAGCAAGCAGCGCATGCACAACGCAACCGTCTTAACCCCTTCACTCAATTCTTCATCATGTAGTTGAACTGCTTCCACCCCAGTTGCTGCACCTCGTCGTCCCTGAGGCGTTCAATGCCCAGCCAGAAGAAGGTGTTCTTTGAGGTGGCACCGGATCCAGCAGAACACTGGATACAGTAGGCATCGGCTACCTCGGAGGCGTGCCCTGCATGCACCACCCAATCATGAGGTTACCACCCAATCATTAGTTAGTTTTGCCATGCACTGGAAAAGACCATATATCCATATTGGGAACAAAATCTCACTGCGACAATATCTCTAACAGTTCAGAAATACTACAAAACAACACAATAACACACACAGTAGCAGTAGCAAGCAACATACCCTGCACTCTTCCATCGAGTAAACATCCTCTCCCTGCTACCTCCACCCCCCACCCAAATCTCAGTTCTCACTGCTGTCTGACGTAGCAAACACAACATCAAGCAAGCCTCTCTAGCCTCCCCCAATCTGAACAAATAGCAGCAGCATCTCCAACTAAATCAGAGGAAATAGGTGAGTGACTAATCATGCTAAAATATAAAAGATGACAGAAATTGCAACACATGATTGGACACTGAAAATTCTAGTGTTTATAAGTAGCTGACAGTTCTGAACAAGCAAAATTGCAAGCATACTGCATAAATGATTAGATAAGCAAACCATCAGGATTCAGGAAGCAAGAACTCACCGATGGTCGGAGTCACCCAGGCGCACCGGCTCCTCCCTCGGACGGCCTCCGGCGTCACCAGAGCGGCAACCTCCGCGACATCGGCGTGCTTCTCCACCACCTTAGACGCAGCCTTCCCACGCTTGGGCGCGGTCGGCCGGGACCAGCCCCTCTCCGTCCTTCCGCCTGGGGCCTGGCCGCGAAGTGACTCCACGGAGGCCTCCGAGGAGCAGGACGCGTTGAGGTTCACCGCCGGCGCATCTTGCAGCTTCCTCGGCGGCGGCAATGGGGACGAGTTCCCCTTCCTAGCGCCGTCGTCGCCAACAGCAGTGGCGGCCCCCGCGTCCTTCTTCACGCCCTGCAACTCATCCTCTTTGACCGGGTCAGCGGCCGGAGGCTTCTCTCGCGCCTTCCGCAGCGGCTTGGGAGAAGGTTTCCACGCAGCTGCCGGGGCCTTGTTGCCCCCCGGCACCAGCACCGGCCTTGCGTCCGCCTCCGACGCCGCGATGTTGAGGGACCTGACCCGCCGACAGGAGGAAGGAAGAACAGGGGCGGCGGCGTGTCCTCCTGGAGGAGGGAGGAGCAGGGGCGGTGGCACGCCGGGAGGAGGTCGA